GCTAGAACTCAACCAGAGGTGAAGTACTCTGCATAATGACCCAAGGAACCAGGGAAGTACTAGGCTTACTCGGCGCTATCTGAGAGATGGAGCACTCTAACAAAAACACTAGTTAAACATGCTAAATAGGGGAGTACAATGTCATCCGAAGAGGGGTGGTTTTACTACGGTCTCGAACTTAGAGACATATACTGCCTCACAGCGCTATGGGGAGCAGGGGCCTTAACAAAAGAGACTCTAAGAAGAGGAGGCCTGCCATACTCACACCCAAGTGGTCTAAACTAGTAGAATATAAACACTCTGTCGAGCTCTAGAGAGCGGAGGCCTCAGCAGATAACTCTCTGGAGTGAGAGGAAGCCTAACCACGCCTCTGAGCCCACAGGGAGGGAACCTGCTACCTGTGCTTATCACCACTGCAATTTTTGCCAGAAACTCAGTGAACAAAAGCGACAAAGGCCCTGTAACAAACTCACCACACCGTAAGGGGAACCCATCCTATCCAGGAGGGGAACGGAGGCCGAATAACCCAGTAAATAAAAGATATGTTTTTTTTGTGGAACAGCCTGTCTACGTTCGTTTTAACTGGAGGAGGCACCTAGTGCCAACTACTCTGCTAACGGCACTGTGGGGCTACATTTTTTTTTTTTTTTTTTTGGCTGGTGGGATGTGGTCAGAGCGAAAGAGAAAGCGCTCGTCAAGCCTTCCACGAGCGGCTTCCCCTCTGGCCATGGCAACTCAAGCCTAGTGGTGGCACGCTCCATCACCTCCACCAGCTCCGCATACGCGGGGCAGGGTGGCTGACCAGGTTCAGCCATTTCAGTATCTTCACCTGCTTCAGCCCCATCCAGGCTCGAAGCCAATAGAGCACTGGCTGTTGGACCAGAGGATGCTTCAGAAAGCGCATCCCCGCCCAACAGCACGTTCTCGTCACCCTCCGACGAGGTTTAGAGATTCACTCCTCTCTCAAACTTATTGGCGATCTGAGTCTCCTCTCGGCCTCGGCACGAGGGGGACCTGAACCGCGGGGCAAAGATGACTGTCTTTCTTCCCTCAAGAAAAAAGACAGACGAGAACGGAGCGTTCTTATTGAAAAACGCTCACAGTCCGCGCACTCTGTCCCCTCGAGAACAGAGCGAGCGTGCTCTTCACCCACACAAAGTACACAAAGGTTGTGAGTGTCACCAGGTGTGAGAAATCTCTCACACGGGTCGGCACACTTGCGCTTGTTAGCCATAGTTTCGTTTAACTCACAGTGCAGTAAACCCTGAAGACGAAAAGAGGATGACATGTTCTCTAGGCGCCCCTTTTATACTTCCGGGTCGCGCTAGAGCATGACGTCATGGCTGACGCCGGCCAACAATGTTGTCGTGATTATACAAGTGTTTCAGTCATTAGTCACGCTGAGGCGTTTCCCCTAGCGCTTCTTTGACGCAGTGCGAGTTCCCTTTTGAAAGGGAACACTGTATGACGAATGCTAACACTTAGCAGTTTTAACTGCTTTCAAAACTGATTAAAAGCACATTCAAATCAGAATGATTGCAAACTCTGTGCATTTCTGCCGTAATTCTGCAGGGCCGACTACAGCTGGCACTCCAAAACTGCACATACGAGATTTGTACTAGACATGTTTTTGATGTTTGTTTGTTTGTTTGTTTGTTTTGTATTTATTGTAATTATTCAGGATTTTTTTGTTTTGTTGTTTTAACTTTTTATTTTTAAGTAAATTACTTTTTTTTTTTTTAATTACTAATAAGCATTATTTAATACTGAAGCCACATTTTCAAAACTTAGTATTTTCTGGATTTTGTTGTTGTTGTTTCAACTTCTCATTTTTTGCATGTAAATTACTATATGTAAAGAAATAGAAAAAACAAATAGCTGCATTTCTCATTCAATCTTTATGCTGTAATACAGTCAGTAAAATGAAAAGATCTTATTCTTATCATATAATGAATATTTATGTGAAAAACAAACATTCAAAAGTTCATCATTAATGTAATGTTCCCTGTTGTTTGTGTTTTTTAGGTCAGTGTGTTATGAATGAAATGTATGTTTTCTGAATGAGAATTCTTGCCAGTGTTATGGTGGAACGAGTTTATTTTGAGACATATAATTATGAAGTGTTTTGTTGGTGTGAGTGAGTTTTGGAGGTGAGATTAACTGTATGGCCAAGATTCAGGAAATGCAGACTGTATGAAGAGTTTTGAAAAAGTGGCTTCGGTATTGACCGATACTTGTTAGCAATTGATAAAAACTGTAACACTATAGCCAATGTCTCCAAACTATGTTGACAGTATTAGTGGTTCGTATTGTTTAAAAGTTTATTTCACATTTGTTCAGTTTGTAGTCCTAAAACCCAGGGAGAAATTGCATATTGTGCCATTTTGGGTCAATGGGTTTTCAGAATAGCAGTGCGTCATGACTGAACCGCTGCATACAAAGGCATTATATTACAAATGTGATCTCTCATTATATAAAGCTCTCAAATTGATTATTTCATTTAGAATTTTCAATATTTAATATTAATATATGTGGAATTTATGTGATTCTGTAATGCTAGGCTTTCAAATAATGGCACTGATAAAACGTCAGGTCATCCGTGGATCCCTTGATCACTGATGGTCTTGTTTAAATTCCAAACCTTTTAAGCACTTAAAGTGTGTTCTTTGAAGTGAAGTAACTGCTGTATGATTGATGAAGTGGAATGAGCTCACCCAAACTCTCTCGAGGTCTCTCTTCAACTTGAGGTATCTGTGAGAGTTCTGCCATGCTTCTTCTGAATGATGTTCATTGAAAAAACCCTCACAGTGCTGTATAGGGCAGCATTATAAGATGGTGTCGAGAAATGTGACATCAGGACCCACTCACAGAAAACTATGAAACACCCATTCACAATCATCATATGAGTTAGACCCCTTTGCGGATCTTAAAGCTTCCTAGATCAGAATTTGATGCTTTATTTATCTACTTTAGACATCATATTGTTTATAATAACTGATAATCTTACAACCACCTACAATCATCTATTGTTCATATTGTTTCCTTGTTAACATTTTATCCAAGGTCTTATTGTAGTTTTATAAGCAGAAAATCATTGCATCGCAATACTTAAAATTGGATTGTAATTTTTTCCTAAAAATTCTCTCTGATTATGTTTGGTCAATTGTCATTCTGTGGTCAAGTATTTGTTTTTATAATGAGTGCTATAATGAGTGCAACCAATTTAATTAGAATTAATGTTCAGTCAACCAGCCATAGTAAAAATATAAACCTTTCAGGAAGATCATATGTTTATACATTATCTCTAGCTACACTGCACTGCACTTATATATACACAATATTCAAGAATTATGAAACAGTCAGGGCTATAATTGTCAGGATTTGAGTTTATTTGTTCATGTTTAGAGTTTGTTTTTGACCTGTTTTTCTGTTCAGTTTTCTATGTCAATCTCAGTTTATTTCCTAGTTAATCTTCTAGCTGTTAATTAGTTCAGTCTTCCTCCGTCCCCTGCCTGTTTGTATCATTGGTTACTGATTGTGTTAGTCCATAGTTCAGGTGTCTTGTTAATTAGTCTCATTAGTTCTTCTTGTTTGCCTGTGTAGAGTTTAATCCTGTCTGTTCCGTGTTTTAGAATTCCAAGTATCTTGAGTATTTCTGTTAGTTTGAGTTTGTGATTAACCCTTTGACACGTACGATCACACCGGTGTGATCAGTCTTGGCTGGTCCCTGGAGCGTACGATCACACCGGTGTGATTAGAACGGTCAGTGCATCACGTGACCAACTGCTAAATTCAAACGTGCTTTCGCGCGTTGGCTGGCGCTGAGCCAGAGACAGACGCACTCAGTGCTGTCATATATCACAACTATTGAGTATTTTAAACCACATAATGTTTATTTTAGGTTTCAGACATTTAAATACACATAAGTACTAGCAAAACAGTGATTTTGAATTAGTAAAATAGACACTGATGTCTATGGAAACGGCAACAATAATCATTTCCATTATAATAAGGAAAAACGTTTTATTCATATCAGATACACATTGTGTAAGTAGCTTTACATTTTACCCTATTCTTCTCCTAGTTCACCGGCCACTTACTTTCATGTATTTCGTGAGAAACAACAGATCCGATTCTCTGAACTGTGAAACAAACTAACATGGCGCCGCCCATCGCGCATACAGCTCAACTAACGCGATCGTTATAAAGATGTTTAAACAACAAAACACATCCACTTGCACATATTTGACAATCGGAATATCAGTGTTTCATGTTATAGCTAATACATGTGTGAATATTTTGAATAGAAAAGGAAAAAAGACATAAAAGCAGATCATCACTCATTCAGCTCTGTGTTGTGATTGCGCTGTGTCACGTGACAAGAAATGACGCGTCACCATGGAAACATTAAAGTGACATGTTCTAAATAACGGTCGCCTTGAAAAACTCACGCTGGGGGGTCAGTTAGAATATTTTAAACTTACGTGTGAAAGGGTTTTAATAAAGACTGCTGCATATAGATCCTGTTTCTTCTCTGCTGCAACCAGACCTGTGAGAATTAAAGATGAGTTCCCAGCAATATTTAAATTAATAGCCAATAAACATGGGCTTTTCTATGACAGGTTCGTAACATACCTTTTTCCAATCTGTACAGTGAAAAACCTGTTCACATTAGTGACATTTCCAAGCAATTATAGATTCATAGGGTTACAGGGTTTTTCAATATTATTATAATTACGCATCCACAGTTGCCAGCATGTACAGCTTGAAAGAATTAACAGGTATTTCTGTGTTGATAAGGGAAAAAAATAGTAGGCCATTTTCAGGAGCATGAGTGAGGTGGTTGATTTAAACGTATATGACCTGTAGTATGATTTATTACTCATACGGTATGTAAGAAACAATGTGAAGGACTTGCTTTATAAATGCATGCTGTGCATTATGAAATCCAATATTGTTTCTTTTTTACAGTATTTCTTGGTATTTCTCTCTCTCCACAGGCTGTGAGTTATATGCATTCTGCGGCGCTCTGTTTGGTATCTGCTCAATGATCACGCTCATGGTTATTGCGGTAGATCGATACTTCGTGATCACTCGTCCTTTGGCCTCGATTGGCGTTATGTCACGCAAACGAGCCCTGTTGATACTCTTCGCTGCTTGGGTGTACTCTATGGGCTGGAGCCTGCCCCCATTCTTTGGATGGAGTAAGTGCTTACAAACACTCACTTACCAGGGGCATTTTGTCTATGGAGACAAGAGAGGCATTTCATTTTAAAATTGCATATAAGAAAAAAATTTGTTTTATATTCACAGGTGCGTATGTTCCTGAAGGTTTGCTAACATCCTGTTCGTGGGACTACATGACCTTCAGTCCTTCAGTACGTGCCTACACAATGCTGCTCTTTACATTTGTATTCTTCATCCCCCTCTTCGTCATCATTTATTGCTACTTCTTCATCTTCAGGGCTATCCGTGATACCAACAGGTAAGCACTTTTACCATTTCTATGAGCGTGTTTGACCACAGGTCTGAACCAGCATTTTTTTTGTCAAGGGCAATTGTATTATTTATCAAAAAGAGATCAATTTTAGATTAGTGCTGTGTTACGGTGTTCTTTACAAAAGACAAAGATGATCAAATCTGTTTGTACACATTTGATGCATGTTCCGTCTCTTGTGTACTGAATCTATCTGTTTGTTTACATGTCTATATAATGGGAATAACAGAGCTGTGGGAAAAATCAATGGAGAAGGAGGATTCAGAGACTCTATCAAGAAGATCCATCGAATGCAAAATGAATGGAAGATGGCAAAGATAGCGCTTATAGTGATCCTGCTGTATGTCATCTCTTGGTCTCCATACTCATGTGTAGCTCTTACTGCTTTTGCTGGGTAAGAATCATAGCTTTTTTTTTACATCCTTCTTGATTATGTTATTTAATTAGCATTGACTTTAGTCAACTTAAGCAACTTAAACTGTTAAACAATTTTGACAGATAAACACACACTTCAGTTGTCACTGTGCTTACACATGATCAAGGTAGTTATGTGTAGCCAAAGAGAAAGCTACTTGATACTTGTGCCACAAATATAATAATATTTGTCACATTTCTAGTTTGTTTTGGATCTGTTTTTCAGTTCGGTTCATGTCTGATTCTCATTGTTAATCTTCTAGTCTTTTAATTGGTTCAGTTCTCCTCCGTTCCCTTCCTGTTTGTTTCTATGGTTTCTGTTAGATTTTAGTGTTCTGTTCAGGTGTGTCTTGTTAATTAACTCATCAGCTCCTTTGTTAGCCCTCATGTATCTAAGCCCTCAGTTTCAGTCCGTTCCTGGTCTTGACATTTTGTTGTTATAATATCAGGTTTTCTCAAGTTGGGGGTTCATGAGTGCTTTGTGAGGGAACTTCAGGTGTTCATTAATTTGAAAAAGAAAATAATTAAATCATAAACGTAAAATTATAATAAAAAAACAAAATAGTAAACATTTAGTAAAGGATAAAATATTTAATTTCTTTACCTGCAACTACATTAGATAACCATAAGCAAGCAAATATGTTGTTAAAATATAAGCTTAACATCTCAGGGGATAAATATTAGATCAAAAGTTCATAATCTTTATAATAATATAATATGATATAAAAGACTCTTAGACTCTTTTAGTCTAATGATCAACCTCTCAGAGAAAATGTGTCACAGACTGGGGGGGGAATGGTTTCACTTTATTTGGATGGTCCCTTTAACACATTCAGTTGACTATAAGTAACGTTGCACCTATCTCTACGAACTCTCACTAGAGTAGACTGGTAGGGTTAGGGATAGAATAAGTTGACATGTAGTTGCAAAGTTACTTATAGTCAGTAGAATGTCTGTTGGAGGACCATCACAATAAAGAGTTAGCAGATATTAAGCAGACAGTCTACTAATACTCTAATGAGAGTTGACATGTAGTTGCAAAGTTACTTATAGTCAACAGAATGTTCAAAAGGGACCATCAAAATAAAGTGTTACCAAAAAAATACACTGCTTTGTTTCCATCAGACTTCAGATTAATGATCACATGCACCTTATGCTACATTTCCTAAAAGGACTGTGTGGTTTTACTCATTAACCACCTCTTTGTAATATAATATATCTGTGTGGAGCTGTGATGCGATGTCATGTGGGTTTGAAGAAATTAACGCATTATAATGTGTAATGCTATGTCCCTTTTACTCTTTCCACAGATACGCTGACATTCTCACACCATACATGAACTCTGTGCCTGCTGTGATTGCCAAAGCATCCGCCATACACAACCCAATCATCTATGCCATCACTCACCCCAAGTACAGGTATGATGATGCTGATGAGAGTAAGCCTTTTTACATAGTTATCTATTCTGCTGCATTTATAAAGAATTTGCAGAATATTCATGGATACCAGTTGCTGCACATTCTCATTCATTTTAACAATTTGTTACAATTATATGGTGATTTATATACAGTAACTTCACAGTATACAGCAGCACAAAATAACTGTGGTATAGCAGCATAGTGTTTTTGTGTCAATAAATTGTTGTATTGGTGTGTAACCAGTGGCACGCGATGCCAAGCGTGTTGTGCGGCCAGCGACACCAGTTATAAAACACTTTGGTTCTGCGTTGTAGAGTTACACACAGGACAGCAGGCGGCGGTTCACTTGGAATCTTTCTATTCATCCCCTGATATAAAACACAAATAAGCAGCTTCTTTGAGAGTGAATTGCCTTGTTCTCCATAAAATAAATATGCACACTGATCACCATTTGATCAACACGTGCTCTTATTTTCACATATTTAGCAGAAGACAAAAATATAACTCGGAGTAAAATGACAAAAATAATCACAGGTAAGTAAAATAACATTATACACATGAATTGGAGTAAAATATAGATTTAAAAGCTATAATTACAATAAATATTAAATAAAATTATCAGAAGTCAAAAGAAACCTATACCTCTCCCGTGAGATTACAATGTAAAAGGGAAGAGGATTAAACAGAACAGGAAGTTATTGTTGCGCTAAGAGTTTAAAGATGTCCACAAAGGACAATTCAAATAAAACAAGTTTTTAGGCAACTGAATATCTGTGACCGTTATGTTGATTTGTGACATCACAACAATTAAAGGGGAAAGCACTCGATCAGGCAGCTACATCAGGTATATAAATTAACAATTTTGTGTGAAATCTACTTGATGATACATCTATTTAACCGTATAATTTCTATACCTGTTACAGTGGCAGAAAATTACCAAGCTTACATGATTTTGTTTTAAAATCCTGTATACACTATAGGGGTGGGTAAGGTGTTTTTTTTTTTTAAGCATTATTATGCTCACCAAGGCTGCATTCAAAAACAGTAAAACGGGGAAATATGATTACAAAATAACAATAATTAAATAATTACATTTTAAAATGTAATTTATTCCTGTTCTGGCAAAGCTGAATTTTCAGCATCATAACTCCAGTCTTCAGGGTCACATGATCCTTTAGAAATCATTATAATATGCTGATTTGCTGCTCAATAAACATTTCATATTATTATCAATGTTGAAAACAGTTGTGGTGATTAATATTTGTGTGTTTTTTTATGAATAGAAAGTTAAAAAAGAGCAGCATTTATAAGAAATATAAGTATTTCTTTTGATAAATTTAACACATCCTTGCTGGATGAAAGTATTAATTTCTTTTTTTTTTATCTTACTGACCCCAATATTTAATATATATTATTTTTTGTATTTTATTGTAAGATAAGTTCCTGTTAAATATTGTAAAATCCTGGCAATATTTGACACTGTATAGATGTGCCCAAAAATTGAAAGACCTTGGCAGCATATTGAGGCACTGAAGCACACCGATTCAGTTTCCAGTACAAAGAGACCTGTCCAGTGAAATGAAACATTGTTCCACAAACATGCATGCTGCGTACTTCAAGGCCAGGCAGACCCAAATTGATCAGCGGCTTTGTGTACAGAGTACTAGCACAAATACCTTGAGACGACAGAGGTAGACTAATTCTGACCTTTAAAAGTCAGATTTACTTCAGATTGATCTGCTCTGGATGCATTGGGCCATGTGTTGCTCATAACAGATCTGCGGTGAGCTGCACAAGATTAATGCCTCATGATGAAGGAACTAAATGATGAGGTCATCATTTGCCCATTCCAATTGCCTCAATATGAGATCCTTGTAAAGGATTGATCCGAATTATTAAGTCTGGTTCTGACATAAGACACAACAAACACAAAATCCCCTCGCCCCAATGAACCTTAAAGGATGTTTTTTTTAAATGTCACTATTATTTCATTGAAGGCTATGGAAAATTGATGTGAATTGCAGTTTGACATTTCCTCTTTTCATTTTCCCGCCCTTTTTTACAAATCACCCCTTTCTTTCTCTCTTTCTCTCTCCCAGGTCTGCCATTGCAAAGTACATACCATGTCTGGGAGTGCTGCTGTGTGTACCTCGTAGAGACCGGTTTATGAGCAGTAGCTTTATGTCCACACGACGCTCCACTGTGACTAGCCAGTCTTCTGAGACCAGCAGCAACATGCACCGTGCCGGGAAGGCACGCTTGTCGTCGGTGTCTGACAGCGAGTCGGTAAGAAAACACCTTTAGGCAACAGACTCTATACAAGAATCATCCTTATTTTGCACGTGGAAGAAATACATTTTCTGTGAATTTGCGAGACTTCATTAACCTCTACAGGTAAATAACTAGAAGAATAACAAAGTGGTTTGGGAGAGATATTTGACCCCTGGAAATTATTTTCAAGGGTATACCTTTTTTGATGGCATATTTTTGATCACACAGTTTATAACAAACAGCATTTGGTCAATTTATGTGACAATTCAATTTAATAAATTAAATAAATTTGTCAACCTGGAATTTAATAGGCCAAAAATGTAATATTATGAAATAACAGAAGAATTCACTGTGGAGATATTTTAAATATCTGGGGCGTTTTGATCACTTTTGTTGGTCCTTTTTTGGTTAATTTCTGAACCCTGCAGTTAATAATGTTGACCAAGTACACATTGTAATAGGGAGGTCACCAAGTGAACTGAATTGCCTTAAAAGGATAGTCCACGTCAAAATGAAAATGATGTAATCAATTGCTCACCCTCGTTCCAATCCTGTTTGACTTTTAAAAACATATTTTGAAGAATGTTGGTAACCAAACCATTTCGGTCTCCATTGACTTATATTGTAAAAAAAAAAGAAATAGGCTACTGAAAGTAAATGGGAACTGAAACTGTTTGGTTACCAGAATTCTTCAAAATATCTTCTCTTTTGTGTTCTGCAGAAGAAAGAAATGTATACAAGTTTGGAACAACATTATTGGGTGCATTAATTATGACAGAATTTAGATTTTGGATCAACTATCCCTCATGTAATATGTTGGCCAAACATTCTCTTATGCATGCCATTGGGTAAAGTACGTTTCTGTCCTTCCTCATTCAAATGATCACAGAAATCTCACAATTATTTTTATTTGATTTTTATTTAACCTATAAGCCAGCAGCCATGTCACCCTGTAGCCCAAGACTGGTTGCCCACTGAAGCTAAGCAGGGTTGAGCCTGGTTAGTACCTGGATGCGAGACCTCCTGTTAAAACCAGGATGCTGCTGGAAGAGGTGTTAGTGAGGCCAGCAGGGGGCGCTCACCCTGTGGTCTGTGTGGGTTCTAATGCCCCAGTATAGTGACGGGGACACTATACTGTCAAAGAGCACCGTCCTTCGGATGAGACGTTAAACCGAGGTCCTGACTCTCTGTGGTCATAAAAAAATCCCAGGATGTCTTTCGAAAGAGTAGGGGTGTAACCCTGGCATCCTGGCCAAATTTGCCCAGTGGCCTCTGTCCATCATGGCCTCCTAATCATCCCTATATATATATACTAATTGGCTTCATCACTCTGTCTCCTCCCCACCAATAAGCTGGTGTGTGGTGGGCGTTTTGGCGCAATATGGCTGCCGTCGCATCATCCAGGTGGATGCTGGACATTGGTGGTGGTTGAGGAGATTCCCCCCTCTATGTAAAGCGCTTTGTGCGCCAAGAAAAGAGCTATCTAAATGTAATTAATTATTATTATTATTATTCAATAGTGCACCTCTCCTTATTGGTTCAGCATTAAATGTTTGTTGTGTATGGACAGGGCTGGACGGACACAGAGGCAGATCTCTCCAGCGTGAGTTCACGGCCTGCTAGCCGTCAGGTCTCATCTGACATCCGGAAAGATTTGTCAGATATCAAGCACACCAGCTCTCTGAGGCTGAAGGTCAAGAGCAGAGACTCTGGTATCTTCGACAGAACCTCAGCTCAGAGTCTAACTGAGCCGAGCGTGAACCGGACCAGTGCATACATCAGTGTAAGTGAGAGTCTTCAATGAGTGTCATATCTCACCTCATTAATCAGAAGCTTCTCAGCTCACTCAGCGCTACTTGATTTATGAAATTAGGAAGCCCACATTCATTTTTAGAGAGGAAACGACTCCATCAGATTTAAAATTCATTTGGAAATTTTATTCCATCCTTCATATCTTCATACTGCCCTGGTTTCAGTCAGCGAAGTTCGGTTACAAAAGAGTCCTCAAAAGTGTGCATGGTTGTATGTGCTAATGATGCTCTTCTGATATTTCATTTGACTGTACATAAAGTTTGAGAGAGAGAGATTTGTACTTCTTTCACTGGCTTTTCTCTTAGATGTAGTGGTGCAGATCATCACTTTCTAAAATCTACACACATTTGTTCTTGCTCTGCAGATAAAGATTTTATTTTTAATTCAGCCTCCTGGTATTGCTTAATAATGATACATTTTCTTTTCCACTTGAGTGAGATAAATCATGAGGGAACCTTATCATAAATAACACTTATCATCGAAAGCTCTGTACCCTGACAGTTTCATGCACTGCTTATTCAGTGGCGTCACTTCTAAATCTTCAGTGCAACCATTGTAGTCTTTTTCCAAAAGAAATTACTCTTTTGAGACACTTCTTTTTAGTGAATCAGAAACATACAGTGCAACCAGTGTAGCATGATTCTCAAACGATTGACTCTTATTAAAAAGGTGCCATTAGTGAATTAAACACAATGAGAATCAACTAGTGTACAAACAGTCAGTCAGTCTAGTCCGATTCCTAAATGAATGACTTGCAGAACAAATGAATGGTGAATCAGAAATGTACAGCTCAACTAGTGCAGTCCAATTTTTAAGGAAAACCGACAACCTACAAGCCAGTTATAATTTTGCATTTAGAATTTTTATTTGTCTGAATAGAACTGTGACCCATTTTTGGATGGCGACACACCATTTGAGAACCATTGATCTACTTCACTGAAGGGATTGTACAACATAAAGTAATATCAGACAATAACTCTCTCATGTTAATGGACTTTAAAAAATCCTGCTTTTCTGCCTATCACCAGTCAAAAGGATATACAATGTAATAACATTGTTTCTAGTTTCCAGTCACAGACACTTGATTCTAATAAAAGATCTGCTAACACTTTACCATTTTTTTAATGAAAAGAACTCTAATCAAATTGAATCCGCTCCTAAAGGCTCCTTTTGTTAATATAATGTTAATGCACACGGGTCTTGAGCCAGTAGAGCATGTGAAAGATGTACGGTGTGGATCAGTGCGCATGACATTTCTTTAAAGTGCAGGCTTGAATGAGGGTCCATTACATTGAGATTAAGCCTGCTTTAATTCTCCTGCCCATATCTGCTGGTTTTAGAGAGATAATCCCCATAAACAGAAGCTCATCCCATGTCATCAAGATGAACAGCATCAGTGTGTCCACTGGGTGGCACCTTCTGCTCTGCCCTTCCACCTTTTTCTTTTGACTGGTCACAGTCCATTTAAACACTGTGCGGACTTAATCAGTGATTAAATATCTGAACATTAAGAATGAGAAAGAGAAGTGCTGAACGATGCATCTATGGCAAACCCTCATAATCATCAATTTCATTTGTATCTCCTCTCTCCCTCTTTCAGACGGCAGGCGACAAAGAAGAGATCTCCATGGCTGAGGTCAGCCTGTCCAGTTGTCTCTCGTCCTCTGTAAGTGCTCTTTTCGGACTGGGTTAAGTTCTAAATGATGTTTGAGTTACAATTATTAACATAGGATCCCACTCACTTCATGTACTAATTCAAATGGGATTGAGATCGCTGTATAGTTCTTAACATGGCATTGTCTGTTTTCTGATAGTGAGCGTTAACAGAAGGTCATATAGTACATCACAAAACCCACTGAAATAGACTTCTATGTGATTGAAGTAATTTATTAAAGTGAATGACACTTTGTTCAACAAATGTCAAAAATAGGAGAAATGTGGTGACAATAATAATACACCACAAGCAGATATTCCTGTCAGGATTTCTCAGAAGATGCTGAAAAACAATAGGTAATTTGCTCTGTAATCTTTTTTTGAGGGTGTGTTGGATTCATATTAACAAAATCCATCTGTGAAACACGATATTATCTAACCTCCTCAGGGAACACTAGTCCCATCCAAATAGGTCTAAAATTGATATTACAGCCATGCAGGTCCATTAGTGGTATATTTTGCTATATTAATCTATTTTGTTGTGCTCTTGGTGTAAATCTTGCAAATCTTAATGCATTAATGAAGATGTTTGTGTCCAACAAAATAAGCATAAAGGATTTCATAACACAGATACAGTATTTCAGATGCAGTAGTGTGGATCAGAGAGGCCGAGCTCCACTGTCACAAAGTCACCAGTGTGTCATTATTAATAGAAGAATGGCAAAGATAGCAAGAAGACAACTTGTCAGTGAATGCAAACACATAGTCCAGAAAGTTCATAAGCAGATCAAGCTGAAAAACCCATGTTGCTGAGCATCAACATGACTATGGCAACTTGGCAAGATTTGTTTTCAGTGCACTGTGGGAGTTTTCATTAATCCCACTGCAACAAGCAAGTCCTATACCTGCTTATACACTCCCAGCCTGATCTCATAATTCATTTTTGTACGTTGGCATATATAATGAAAATTATTTACATATAGACAGCTTTTTCTATACATGTAAATTTAGATCATACGACACTGAAAACTGGAGTAATGGCTGCTATAAATTCATCTTTACCGTCACAGGAATTACTTTTTAAAAAACATTAAAATAGAACAGTGGTTCCCAACCCTGGTCCTGGATTACACCCAACACTACAGTTTTGATGTCTCTCTTATCTGACACACGCATCTGAGGTCTTTCTGCTGTGTCTGAAATCGAATACTTCCTTACTATATAGTATGCGAAAAATAGTACTGCAAACAGTAGTATGTCCGAATACATAGTATTGGAAAAAACAGTAGGCGAAAATACAGATGACTTACTACTTCCGCTGAGGTTATGAAGTGCTTGTTCAATGGACACTTTACTATCCCATAAGGCCATATATATATATATATATTCAAATATTATTTAACATTTGTTAAAAATGATTATGTAAGCAAAGCATGTAGCTATGCTTGAAGTCAATAAAACGCAATGTCAAATTGTGAGAACATAATTTTTGACCAGGTTGTCATACTAAAAAAAGTTATTTAAACATTTATTTATTTATTTCCTCACTCACTGTCTTTTCTCTGTCTCACATTTAGCCAAATATGGTCTCAGACAATGTTGATGAGAAAAGACTGTTGGTTCGGATCCCTTCCATCATTGTAACGTCAGAGTCCAGTCCAGCCCTCCTCTCAGTAGGGCGCAGCAGTGGCTCCTCCAGACAGCTCCCAGGTGCTTCGGTGGAGGAAGCCTCTTTCTCTGTGGACCCTGCTAGCATTGACTGAATACGGGCTACACTACCACAGACTTAGACTTAAGGACACAAACTCTTGGTGATCTGACTTGTTCCTTCCACCATTTTGTCTCCTTTACACAGGGCTCAAAATTGAACCTGCATGCTGTTACAACTGACATCTGAAATTTGACAGTGCTGTTATTGTTGTATACTTTTGCCTGTTTCGAGGTGGAAAATGGGTGACCACAGCCTACAAGGTGAACAAGGTCTGTATGTCTATAGGAAAATAGGGTCAGGACACCCTTTCAGGCTTCTTTCAGTGGTGTGGAGATGATCCTCTCCTCTCAGGGAAGAATTTGACAGTTCTAAAAAGCAACAGTGATTCAGTTGTGGATTGACACTGCTCTGAATATGTATTCAGATACATCCATCCCTTTAGTGAGATGCTTCATCCATTGAAGGTTGTGCTTTAGGCCATTGGAATAAACGGTTCCTAGTGCCTGCACAAGGTCAAAAACAACACATGATCTGTGACTTGAAGATTCAAACGCCTAGTTTTTACCCAGCCAGAGATTTTGGTCTCACTATGAAATGTAGAGCCCTGTCTACAGGTGTAAAAGTGGATATTTTGATGTTTCTTTAAAGGTGAAGTGTGTAATTTCATGTACAAATGTACAAATATTTTCATTGTAATGGCTGATAAACGATAATTGGCCGATACTTACATTCTATGCTATTTTGTTTACATTATAAAAAAAAATAAAAAAAGTTTTAAATGAAACAAGAAATTAGGCATCACAGCATTATAATGTACAGTCTGAAAAATGTATATTCATTTTCCGATTTGATAAAGATTACATTTATCAAGACTTCAAACAGATTATCTTTGCCATCATCTAACGTTCACTAGGAACTGCGCATGCACAATTAAATGCCCAATAACTAAAACCTTAAATCTCTAATATTGGGAGATAACTGGAATGGTACAGAATACAGATATATTGTGCACCCTTAATTTTAAAATTGAAAAATAAATAATTGAATTAAAAACTTCAGCTTTAAAGTATCAGGTACTCCTACCAACATTCATAACGAAATAAGCACTTTGAGAACCAATGACCAATGATTTTTCTTGCTGCTGATCATAATAAACATTTTGTCTTGATTATAGTTTATATATTTTTTTCAGAACTGTATGGCCAATACGTATATTTGTCTATTGAATGTTAATACGAAAGTATGCTCAACAAATGATCTTGACTGAATGATTTGTCATGCTTTTGTGTTGTGCCATGTTTCTCTATCCACGTGTTAAAATCCCCATGGTTGTGATCACCTGCATGCTTTCTTAATGTAAAATAGGCTTTTTTGATAGAAATATTTGCTTTTAAATGTTTTTCATTCTCTGTGCAGGCTACAATAACATCAAAATCCCTATAAATGTGAAAATGGTCTTTTAAATGCAAATGACTGGTCTCAGAGCATGTGGCTGTAATGAACTATACCTTTCAGATGCAGATTTGCCTTTCTGCTGGATTTCAGAGATGCTTTAGTGGGATTAATATGCCAGTTTCTGGGAGTCCTTAGGGATTAGAGGGGAAACGCTTTTAACAAGATTAGTTTTGGGGAAGTACTCAGCCAGAACGCTCCATTGCTTTTAAAGCCTGCTGTGTTCTCAAAGTTACATATACACTTTCTCATATACTGGTCTCTGAAACAGCTCAAATTCACTGTCAGTCTCTCTGTCTCCCCTGAGAGATATGTTTACCTTTTCATTTTGAGGTAAATATGCTTCGTAGATGTTTTATGATTTTCTATGGTGCTTGACCTGCATATTTACTGATGTTGCCTGAATGTTCACCTGATTAGCAACTCTTGATTTAGCATTGATACACATTTAGCAGTGAACACCTAGGTCAATAGTGTGTCCTGCTGACTTGCATGTGATTTGTTGCCTGGACGCCGTCAGAGTGACATAATCAAGTGCTATATAAATGATAAATGAGCTTATCAGCAAAAGCCACAGGTCATACATTATATTTGTGATAACATTGTCACGTCTTCATTGGCCATCCCTATGTTTTCGTGACTCCAATTCTGAAGCTGTCATCATATTATATTTATATGTGCATGGTAAAGTTCATACAGTAATTTTTGTAAACTTTTTTTTTTACCAATGCCCCTAAAAAATAAGTACATTGTACAAGGTACATTGTACTTATTTTTTGATGTAAGTACATAGTAGTTAAAGGGTTAGTTCACCCAAAAATGAAAATTCTGTCAGTAATTACTCACCCTCATGTTGTTCCAACCACGTAAGACCTTCGTTCATCTTCGGAACACGAATTAAGATATTTTTGATGAAATCTGAGAGCTGGATCACTCCTCCATACTAGTCCATAGGCTTCTTCAGGGATTGAACTTGTCGGCCTCGAAAAGTTATTAAAGACATCGTTAAAAAGTGACTACAGTGGCTCAATCTTAAGTTTATCAAGCGACGAGAATACTTTTTGTGTGCAAAAACAAACAAAAATAACGACTTTATTTCAACTATTCATTTCCTTCTCTGTGGGCCTCGAGTCAGTTCACTAGTGTAATAGCGTAAGCTTCTGTTGTTGTACGTCACACGCATCACGCACATGACCAGCGTCGGCCAATAGTGAGCCTACGTGTGACATAGCTCTACGGAATCACACTACGTTAACTGACTAGAGGCCCAAAGAGAAGGAAATGAATAGTTGAAATAAAGTCGTTATTTTTGTTTGTTTTTGCGCACAAAAAGTATTCTCGTCGCTTGATAAACTTAAGATTGAGCCACTGTAGTCACTTGGACTATTTTAACGATGTCTTTAATAACTTAGATAACTCAATAACTTCGTGTTCCGAAGATGAACGAAGGTCTTACGGGGTTGGAACAACATGATGGTGAGTAAATACTGACAGAATTTTCATTTTTGGGTGAACTAACCCTTTAATGCCACCTATAAAGCAGCCTGTCTCATCCCAAGGCGTCATCTAACTGACGCTTTTGACCATGCGTCAACATGCCGAAGCACATGGCACCCCTTAACCGTCAATATGAGACGCGCCTCCTAGTGGTCTAACCCTAACCCTACCCCAGACCTAAACCTACCCATAACGGAAGCGTCATCTAACTGACGCTAAAGGGTGCCATGTGCGTCGGATTTAGACGCATGGTCAAAAGCGTCAGTTAGATGGCACCCGAGGATGAGCGTCTCATATTGACGCTTAAAGGGTACCATGTGCGTCGGCATGTTGACGCATGGTCAAAAGTGTCAGTTAGATGACGCCTTGGGATGAGAATGTGTTGTATAAAGTGGGACCAAACATGGACCTGTAATGTCATTTGAGTGACAGTTTGTCCCGCCCTCACGCCAACAAACATGTCATCAATGAAGAGATTTGACTGCAAGTGCGAGGGGAAGGTATTTTGATGAAAGATTACAAGGGCGCATGAATTTATTTAAAAAAATAACGATGTGCGCGGATAAATCATTTATAATAAATACTAAAATATTCCATAAAAACACCTAAGAATTGTTCATTTTGATTTCATGACTTTAAGACCCACAGCAGCTTCGACTGAGCAAACCACAGTTAAGAATCCAGACAGTCCACACATGGAAAGAGACAGAAATCATTATGTAAGCTTGAACATGTTTGCTAGTCAAGTAGTCCAGATTAGATGGTAATAATGAGTGGCTGTTATGCAGAGGTACTGCTGCTTTCTGTCGTTTTGCACCTCAGTAATAAAGACCTCATTCACCAGCCTAGACTAATATCACAAACTCCCTTTATAAAGCATTCTATTCAACTAATTTTCTTCCATTTAACTACTAAATATTTATATTGATAAAATTCCACAAATATGAAAAGAAACTATTATAGAAAAAAGGGCTATTTTTCCATAAACTGTTGAAAAAACCTTGAGCAGCCTTAAGTATAAGTATATATGTACGCAGTTGCTGGCTCTGCATTTATATAAGATTCACTCTGATTTCTACAATGAGCTCTGAAAAATGTCACAAGCCCCTGGAGATACGATTCAGGAGTAAACATGCTCTGTGCCATTGACTCTTTCCCTTGTAGCAAATTATAATAAAGCTTGGACTCTCTGACCTAAATTAGAGGTGAACTGAGTATCTCTGCTGACCATATTGGAGTCGCTGCAAAACAATATTTAATAGTTCTATAGCTTTGGTATTTAAAATGTATTTATATTTCTTTACATATTGTTTCTCCTAATCTTATGTGGTGCTTCTTATGTGTGTTTTCTTCACAACCGATCTTCATGCACATGTTGGATGGCCAAAAGCATTACAATTTCAGTCCATCTTGCAATGACTGTGTGATTTCACTTTAATTTATTGAATTGAATTGAATTTTTAATTTAATGATGTATTTGGGTGATTGATAATGTTAATAAATATTATATTCTAATCAGTATTATGAATTATGCTTGCATGTAAAAAAATATATTTATGCCTTTGGGTTTCAGAAATATGTCAAATGTGCAATGTAGTTCAAATACAGCTTTATTTTACATGGTTTTTGATGTTGAACAGTAAAGAAAAAAAATACATAGACATACTTGACAATACTGTACATAGGCTACTTGGCAACTGTCAGATTAAAACTGACTCAAGTATACAAAGCTTGTTAGATATAGACAGTTACACTTTTGTCACTTCTTTTGCATTGTTGCATCTGTGACCCAGTATAACAAATTGTTGATGACAGGAGAGAAACCATCTGTGCAGATACAATAAGCCCTGGGATTACAGATGCTGTGCAACCTCCATTGTAACTATCACAGATGTTCAGAATAAACTTTGTTAGCTTGTTAAGGTTATTTTGACCAATTTACAGAAAGAAATGCGTTATAAATAGCACATAGGGCCTACTTTTAGAACGGGACAAGACCAAATAGTCGTTACATTTCCAAACCTGTATTTAGAAAAAGCATTTCAGGATGTCATGCAACTATAAAACATTTACTTATTTATTGAATGAATACAATTTGACCCAAAAATATTTTACTCTGGATTACTTGATTCTGGTTGGTCAAGTGAAGTGAAGATCATGGTGACCCAATAGAAATGACTCAAGTATTACCAAAAAAGGAATTACTAATTATTTGGAACATGAATTTAAAGTGAAAATGATGATAACTCTCAAGAAATGACTGAAGTCATTGTATGCTTTTGAGGTTTTTGTAAGGTTTTGTAAATAAGTAATTCCTTTATAAGGATGTAGTAACTGTAAACTGGAAGAGAGGGCTACTCTCTGAGAGAACAAAGGAAATTAACATTTGAACTCACTCTTGTGAAGTTAGCATCACCATTCACATTCTCACCTCAGAGTCATCCTAATCTACACCTCTTTCCCTCTTCCCCCACTCCTTCTCTCTCATGCTGAGATCACCAAAATTCACCCAAAGATCTATGGTTTAATGTGAATAATTATCATACAGCATTATACATGTTTGGTATAATTTGAAATGTGTCAGTGCGACTGGTACAAATGTCTCATCGCCAAAGAGGTAAACCAAAAGGTAATAAGTTATTAAGAGTTTTAAGGATAACTTGTACACAAAGGAGGGTGTGTCTTCCTGGCAAATGGCATTCTGCTCCCAAAAGGTGTAA